CTGGTATTTTAATTGAGATTTAAAAGCCAAAAGCTTTCAAATGATCTTATTATGTGATAATCTCTCCGTTCATGATCAAGGAGAAAAGTTTCAATCACCATTTCCACTGTAGTTTGGAAATGTATTTGGTTTAATCTTCAGAAAACGAGTTAAAACAGCCTTTGGGTGTTTTCACATTTTTTTCAGGAATCAAAATTTCCAGAAGGAAATATTTGAAAGGTGTCTTTATTAGTGTTTCAAACCTTGGAGGAACTTACTTTTTTGCTCAAATATATTAAGTATGTGTAACAACCTATTAAACATACTCATCCTGATTTCAAATATGGGCACAGATAGATTGGAAATGTTTATACACATATAGAGCTATAAAAATGAAATTGAAACAATCCATTAACTGCTAATGATAACCAGATATGTACTGCTAGCACACAGCCTTTTCTGCATTCAAAAAGCAAAACCAAAATCCTTATCCCAGTTTAAACAGAAACCTTATGTTACATTTACTCTTCAGTATCTCAATTACAACCTGAGGAGAATTTGCCAGCAAACACCCAGTGCTCAGGAGGCTGGTGGGAATCTTTTCCTTGGCTACACTGAAGCTGATTCTCCCCTGAACTACAAAAACTAGGACTGACTTGGGCAAATAACAGGTATTTTTGTGTAAGGCCAAACTGGCCTCAGGGACCAGAACAAACATATCCCTTAACACCACACCAAGTTACTTCACACAGACAAATTCACTGAGGCAACAATTACTGCAAATAATATCACATACACAGCTGTATATACATTTATCCTTTTGACAAAACCAGAATATTATAGCATTCCATTTGACATTTCTGATAGATTTCCAGAGAGATTTGACAAATTTCTTTTTCCTCTTGAGCTGCTAAACAGATTCACTGAAGTAGATGGCATCAGAAAGTAATGCCCCATCCAACCCTGAAGATAAAAGGGGTTTTGCAGGACTAACTTAACAGGAATATTCTCCTCACTCCATGTTCAGCAGCAGACAGTGCACACCAGGTTGCCAATTTTTGGTGCTGTAAGTAGTGTGCTTTTACAGGCTGTGATAAAAACCCCCGTGTGTTTGCTTTTTGTATGAGAAAGTACAAAGTTCTTACCTGCTGGTGAAATGTTACAGGCACCCCATGTAGATCATTAAGCATGAGAATTCATGGTACTCACAAACTATCACCATTCCTAGAGCCCAACTATTTGGCAGAAGGTTATGAAGGAAGAAAAGTGTTAGAAATCAAAGTTCAGAGAAGACCTTCATGTTTAACCCAAGTCAGTGAGCAAACCTCCAGCCAAACCCACTGCCCACAGCTGGGACACTCCATGCCAGGGAATATGGCAGAGCTGCTGCTTTGTCAAACTGCACTTTAAACAGCCTGGCACTGTCTTCTCCTCTTGCCTGAGAGGAGCAGAAGTGAGAGGATGATATAGGGAGAAAATACAGACAAAAGCAGCAGAGGGAAGGAAGCTTTTATCACCAGTTGGATGTGTGCCACAGAGACCAATTATATACATTTGACAGCAACCATTATAATTCCAGAGTCCTTGAACAAATCACAAGCAGAAAGGTTACCTTCCTTGAAAATGTTCATTGCCATTAAATAACTGACCCAGACTAGAGGGTGAAGGCAGCACTTAAGAGAGAATTTGGGGGAAGGGAGGAAGTGGAGAATCTTATTACATGTACACCTGAGAAAACCCCATCGTTTGTTCTGAAAGAGGAATTGCAGATTCACTGCAGATACTGGATTTGCAGCAGAGCAGACAGTGTTCTGCAAATGCAAATCCTACAGACAGCAGGGACAAAAGAGGCGAGAGAAAGAATTTCTCTCTGATACCAGTGTCAACACTTGACTAAATTTGGTGAGGTTTATGGTTTCGCCCTCCAGTTTAAAAATCACAAGGCCTGGTCCCACATTCCTTGTGCTTTTAAGTTTAGACTGCTGTGGAGGCTACTGACAAAGAAAGCTGCCATAAGTCAAATTCCACAGTTACACACGTAATGACGACATCTAAGTGAAGGATTTATATTTCATGAAACATGTATTTCAATATCAAAGAGAGAGTTGAGGCATCTGCTAACAAGTGGGTACCTTGTTCTCTCTCAGTAACAGAGACATGATATTGGGAGATCTCAGGATCTCTATGGATTTCATCCTCTGTGAGCAATCATTCCATATACCTGATGAAAAGCTTCACCAAGCAACAGCAGATAAACCGAGGTGGTTTGGTACATGGCATTCAGATTTCCTCAGCACATCCCAGTTATTTGGGATGTATCCTTCCAGAGAAGGTTCAAATTGCCTTTCATTTTAACAGATACATGCAGTCAGATGGTTCTCTCTTTTCACACATGTTGAAAGCTTATTGTTCTCTTAATTCAGAGTAAAATCTAATTGGAAATCACTATTTGCAAAAGAACAGGGAGTCAAACATGATTCTGAATTTCTGTTCTGAGGTTGGCTTTTTCAATACAGGATTTGCTGGGTAGGATAGAAAGTTCCCAGGCTCCTTCCAGCTGAAATTTCTCCTCTGCCAGACACGTGATTCAAGAAACTAGACATACACACACAGAAAAAAATAAAATTTCTGGCTCCAAATCCTCTTGCAAATGTCACAACCCAACTTGGACAATGCCTATTTTTAACACAACATACAGCAAACTATCACGACGCAAAAGAAAAAGGAGGAAGAGAGAGATGTTGGCTCAGTCAATTTATTTCTGGGAGACATCAAGCCTTTACAAAAAGAACCAGTAATGAGGGCACAAAATGCTGAAGAAAAGAAAAGCACAAAATCAACAAGTTTTGTAGAATGACTCAAAGGAACACAAGTGCTGTTCACAGCACAAGGTGACTTGTAACAAAATAAGAAAGAGTCATGTTAGACCTCTATGTATAAAATGAGCTCTTATTTTATTGTTCTAGACTTGCGGACTTTTTGCAAGATCCGAAAGGCAAAGATATTTTAATGTACCCGTTTCTGTATTCAGGAGAGAATGCTCACAGCTCAAAGGCCACAGTTTTCAGCTCTGAATCAGAAAGGATATATTATAATTGCAAACATAAAATTTAAGCTCCTTTCACTCATAAGGAGAGGGACAATTTGAGAGAGCAGGACAGATCGCTAAAGAGAATTCTCCCACATAATAATTCTCTTATTAATTCAGCTGAGTTTAATAAGCGATCCTTCCTCAGTTCCCAAAAGCCTGCACCAGAACATCCACAGAAATAAATCTTCAGTCTCAATGGTCCTGCTTAAGAAGGTGAGGCTAAAATGCTTCATCAAAGAAATGTACTTATTTGTCACATCTGATTCAAAGTTTACAAAATTCAGCAAGGAATAATACCTGCTATTGTCCTTGGATGCAGTTTTCAGCCATGCCTGATCTTGGTGACTCACCAATATATCTGGTATAAAAGAAATGAGCTGTTTCCAGATCCTAGGAGCAAAGTTACTCCCACCACAGCATTAAAGTTGAGAACCTCTACCTCTGAGACTTGGAATCCCACAAGGATTCCACAAGGAATCAACAGGACAAAAACTCCGCCAAATGTCAGACCAGAAGTTCTGCTGTGGGGCAGGAAGTCAAAAAGTCTATTAAGTTTAGTAAAAAGGCTTATGAACCACTAGAACTGTTTTTTTTACAGCTTTCCAAAGACAATTTGCATTGTGCTCTCCCATTTTTTCATCTACTTTCAATCCCATTGTTAAGCTCTTCCTCTGCTGCAGGTTGCATAGTCTGCAGAGGAAAGGGGAGCTGGGAGACTGCAATAGTTCCTCCACTTTATCTCCAAGGACACAGTGGGCATGGTAAGCAGAAAGTAAGCCCATATGCATCAGTAGTTCCTCCTAATTTGAATGCAACATCAAGATAAAAACAGGTAGAGAAACCTGATGGAGAGTTGTAGTGAGGAGATAGGAAGGAGTGGGATAGTAGAAAGAGAAGGGATAGAATACACAAAGTCAGGGCATGCTGTGTTTGGGAGTGGAGAGGAAGCAGAGGGGTGTTATAGGTGTTAGAAAGGTGGAGTTTTGAGACAGAAGCAGAGACACAGGATGACAGTGGTTATTTGCTGTGAATGACTAAATGTGAGTCTGAGAAGTGGAAGGAAGCGTAGAAGTCTTGTATTTTGGGATGCACCCCCCCAAACCTGCAAATCCTGCACATGTACATGACAGACAGGACAGAGATGTGTGTGCAAGGACAACCCAGTGGAAAGACAACACCACTGTGTGTGCAAAATACACAATGTGCATGAGAGAGGATGGAGCGGGAAGTAGGAGTGTGTGTGTGAAGCTAGAGGAGCACTGGGAAAGGGGAACACCAGAACAAGAAGGAACTGACAGAGGGGAAGGAGACAAAGATTAAGAACTTGGAGGAGGATGTACAGTCTTGCACAGGCATGAAAGAGAAGGCAGAGGGAAAGGAAAGGAACCAACAAGGGAAATGTTTGTCACACAGAAAACACGCTTGATGAAAAACAGGCAAAAGAAGATGGTGAAAAAGATAATAAGAGATACATAGGGTTGAGAATAGAATAAAGGAAGTGTGAAGAACAGATTAAAAGAGAAAAAAAAAGAACAAGAAAGATTTATTAGTCGACAGAAAGCACAAATCTCAGTGAAGAGATTTGAAGAAAAGCCTAAGGCACAACACACTATGGGCAGAACCAGAAATTCCTTGCAGACTAGTCCTTTCCTCTGCCCTCTCCAGACCTCTGTGTCAACTCTCCTTCCCAGTGGACTCCTCCTTTAAGAACACGTTTGCACCTCCAGCCACAGCCTGTTTGCCTCCCTGAACCTGGGGCTCCAAGGATCGTCGCTGTTGGGGGCACGGAAGATGCGAACGCAGCCACTTCCAAAGAAACACCGTCTTGAAAACCAACTCAAAAACAACAAAAGGTGGAACTTGCAGTGGTCAGAGCCAAGTTCTTTGCTGGTCAGGGAGGTGGAGCTGCTCTGACAGCTGCTTTCCTTACCTTGGGTGCTCATGAGTGACCGGGCTGTCTCACTGCAGTTGCTGCAGGCTGAAACTCTCTACGTCGCCTCCATGCAATTGTATTTCCAAGAGTCTTGGAGAGGTTATTTGTGCTCTGCAGTGGTTGAAAAGTAAAGGAAACACAAGGAGCAAAGCAACCCCTGGCCCCTTAAGGACAAAAGTTTCAGGAGAATCTGGTGCACCGGTGTCAGAACGAGCAAAGAGCCACACAGAAAGTAAGAAAAGTGTGTCAGAGACTGGGAGGGGCGGAGAAGGAAAATGCAAAGATCTGACAGGAAACCAGACTATAAATCTGCTTAGGGTTTGAAAAAAACACATTTCTGCTCCCCAGCGATAGAGCCCGTTTGCAAATGACTCTGCACACAGGTGACAGCAGAGCCCCAAGCACCGTGCAAGCAAATGAAGGGGCACCTTTGCCCCTTCCCCGGGAAGAGCAGTGGGCAGAGGCGGCGGCAGCGCAAAGCCTGGCTCAGACAGAGAAAGCAGCCTGGCTCCACTGCCTCACTTCCAGCTCTCCAGAATTCCATGTTCCCTCAGCCAAAAGGGGACATGCTGAATGCCAGCCTTGCTGCTGCTCTGCCTCTCCCACCACAGAGCATCTCAGGGCACACGCTGGTGGAAAGCAGGAGGGAAAGGAAAAAGAAAGAAAGAACTGAAGAAAACAGTTTCAAGAACAACAGTTCCAGGCAGAAGGAGTTCTGGGTTTTCCCGAGGTTTCAAAGTTTTTTCAAGAAACCATCTATTTTATTAGTAGGCGCTTCTGCTAGAAAGGTAGTCAACAGGGTTTACTTTATGCATTAGATTATTTTGCAGTTGAATGATAATTTAAACAATGCATTTTCCAAAGGAAGTTTTGCCGACACAAAGAAGCCACAGTATCTTGTATTGCTTCAGTGCTGGACTCCAGGTTTAAGGCCAACATGCAAACCCCCCTGCTGGAGGGTCTCACTGAGATATTCACCTCTAGGCTGCAACCAGAAGCCTCCCACCACAGGCAAACTAAGCGGAGCCAGTCCCTGCCCTCGCTGTGGGACGAGGAGTCACCATCACTTCTAGAAACATCCTTCAGTGCTGCTGCCACCCCGCTCAGGGATCCTAAGCCTGAACACCTTGCATGATGTGCTGGTTCCTGTTCTGCTGCTGCCTATTTAATCCCAAAGGGGAAAACAAGGCACAGATGCTGTTGTGGTCCTGGTCGCTCCCGAGGCTTTACCTTTGCACTGGGCAGATGTGCACAGGTGAAGCCTCACTGGAGTCAGGAATAGTTTCTGGATGTGTGAGGATCAGAGAAAAGACCACTTGAAGGAAGAGTTATATGAGTGTAATAAGGATGTGTGTTTGTGAGGGTGATCGCAAAGCTCACCAGTCTGGAATACATTCTGCTCCCTGAATTTTTGCGAGGTTGTTTTTCTTTGAGGGTGACCAGAAGAAAGCAACTATGTATATATGGGTGTGTTTTTATTTCCTGAGAGGAAATCATAGAAATAAAAACAGAAACACAAGGGATAATAAGCATAAGCGACGTATGATAGATAACTTAGGAATATGGGGGGTGGAAAAGCACGATGACAGTAATGGAGTAAGAGAATGAGAAAGGAAAAAATAGTTGGTAGAGAATAAAAGAAAACACAACAAATGGAAAAACTATCAAAGGATACAGGGGCGTCAAAGACAACAGAATGGAGGAAGTGAGATGATAAAGTGAGAAGAGGAAATGTGAGGGAGAAAATACATGGCTCAAAGTGTTGTTACAATAACATGCAAAAGTGTTCTTAGCAAACTGAAAGCCTGAATCCTGCGAAAATCATGAGGGAGCAAAATGTGGAGAGCAGCTCTGCCTCAGTTCTCCCTGATTTTTTCTCTAGTTTGTACCTGTACCTGCACTGGTGAGGGTGTAAGTTTATCTGTGAAGTTGACACTGAAAGGAATTCTGGAAGGAATTACAGTTCTCTAAACCAAGATTTCTCCAAGACTAAGGAAGGCAGGAATTTCTGTCTCTGGCTGAACAATAGCAGAACACACTATGTCCCTAACAATTTTTTTCCAGTGAGGACTATACTGTTTGGGGCTACTGATATTCACGTGCAACTTTACCAAAATTCCCTGTTGAACAAACTTGGAGCTGAATGTGACAAGGTGCAGGAAAGCCTCCTGCTTTGAGCAGCCAAAAAAAATCTATCCATGTGACAACAGCACAGGTGAGGTTCTGCAATTTCTGACGGGGGGAAAGTGATATTTTGGGGAAAAAACTGTGAAACAGAACTGTAAGAATCATGGACTACAATTATTCAGTCAAAGCCAATATATTACTTTTGAGTCAAGCTTTCTGCTGCTTTCACAGAGGAAGCTGATTCGTGCATGCAACAGAGGAACCATTTTAAGAACAACCAGAGAAACTCTGTGGCTGCACTTCGATTTAAAACGCACAGATCTTCCACACATGGTTCCCAACCTGAAAGGAAAAACATGCTAGAAATTCAAATCAAGACTCACCAAGTCTCATTACAGCTTTCTCCTTCTGTCCTTGGCTTCTTTGGCAAACAAGGTGTCAGACAGCACACTCTGAAACCGCCCTACGGAGCCGAGCAGGGGGTCAGGTATCATTTGTTCCTGTTTTTGCTTTTGGTTTTTGGGGTTTTTTTTAATGTTGTAGATTACAAACAACTCAAAAAGTGCAACAACTGTTTTAAAGGAGATCCCACATTTCCCTGGGCCTAAAGTGGTGCCCTAGAGATGAAGCAATTATCCAGTGAAGCCTGAGCAGCTTTAAGGAATCTATCACCGAAACTCAAAGGACCTAAAATTCTCATAGTCATAAAGGCTTTACTGGCAAACTGAGATTAGCTGAGCAGGATCCAGCCATCAATCACAAAGCCACATGTAACTGAGCATCAACTTTTTCTTATAAGAATTTACAGTCTTAATCCCAGTTTTCGGTTATAAAAAACTCTCCCAAGCTATAAAAGTGTTATGGTGAGGTTACAGTTCCTCGAGGCTGGTGGACTGAAGTTATGTGTTTCACACAATGTAAGTGTAGAAAATAATTATGTTCTGTTTGCCGACCAGAAAATACAAGAAAATTCAGGTGCACCACCTAAAATACAGCAAAAAGCTGCAGAGTTTGAATCGTGGGCTTTCCTGACCCAAATGTAGGGTCTAGGATCTTGACTAGTAGAGTTCTGAGCAGGAAAATTTCCTTTCTTTTTTGGTAAGAAAAAGGAATTGCCTCAAAAAGATACCTGTCTGTCATCTGTTTCTTTTTTTACAATAATAAAAAAAAATCCACTGGAACTTTCTGTTTAACAAGCTGTCCAGTTAAGGGGTAACAATAAACAATGCTTCCTTTTTTTTTTTTGTTATTTTTTGTTGGTTATGGTTTCTCAAACTCCTTTTATTAAACTTGGTATAGGAAACGATAAATTTATTATTTATGAAAATCACCCGGAAGGACACACCTGGTGTATTTGTTGTCTCCCTCTTTCCCAGAGACTTCAGAAAAGAAGGGCATATTTAGTTCCTTCCAATCACTCTGATTTTGCAGGATCTGAGCCCTAATGGTATAACCTGAATAACAAATGCACGTCAAGCCCTTTGGTGGTGCTGCACCTTCCTTTCCTCCAGGCTTTTACTTTGGGATCCTTGCATAAAAAAAGCCAGCAAAATTTCTACATTATTCTATTATTCCATTAGGGTGATCAAACAGTGGAGAAGATTTGGAATCTCAGATGCTCCTCCACATTGTTGCTGGCCTCCTAAGTATTTTGCTCACGGAGACGTTCATACCGTGACATTTTGATTGGTATGAAATCTATGGAAAGTTTCTCTTCTTCTCATTCTTAAACTTCCTACAGTGGAAGGTTCTCCTTCTACACCATGACTTCCTACAGAAGGCCTTTTTACAGAGGTGATTCATCAGCTCAGGAGAGGCTGTAAGTCAGAACTGAAGCTGCCACAGAGCTTTAAATAGCTGCAGACCGAAGAGTTAAAAAAATATCAGCACTTGGAAGTAAACAAACACGAAACTATCCAGCTCTTAATCTGCTGCTCCTTTTCTTCTATCGCCTTCTTCTCCCCAGAGATCCATCCCAGCCCATGAGGAGACTGCCCTTGACTCCTTATCAGTGTAACAGTCCTGAAAATCCCTGGATACCAGAAACGCATTTCACAAACTAGTGATTTGAGAACTAATATATTGCATTTCTCCTGCATGCCTGGGCACAGCAGCTCCCTCTATATTGTTAACACAACCCTTCCAACTCTTTAGAGCAGAGAAAGAGAAGTATTAAATATTTTCCCCGTTTTACATATTTTATATTATCAGCCTTGCTCAACTATCCTCAGAGACTATCACTCTTACTTAAGGATGCTCACAATTTATCATTTTTCTCTGGAGATCTGACTTCCAGAACAGAAGTATTTCCCTATTCAATTCACCAGCCTGTGGATAAGCAGCTGTTAGTGTTCATTTGCCTTTTCTAGGCATTAACATCAAAAATGCCCCTTGATGTTAAAAAGTGACACACGGTGGGATTTCTTTAACACCTTTGGGGGTAATGGCTTAAATCCAACAGGGAAATGTTCTTATCTATAGGTTTATGATACACATTTAACAGTGTTTCAATTGCCTGAACTATGAAATAAGATGACAGGCAAACATATATCAGTGGGGAACAGACAGAATAAAATTCCCTCTTTCATTTGACAGTGATAGGGGTTATGTATTTTTGCACTAAATGTACAATCTCTGTTGAGTTCAACAGTATAATGGGATTTATCTGAGTCAGATAGTAGCATATGCACCCATTATGGAAAATTTGGGTTCAAATCCAATCTGGGATCTGGGTTCCCAATCCATGGCACAGGGGGTAGTGCCTTGCCAAAAGGCCAGCCCTCCACTGAAGCAAAGAACCCAGATTTGGGGTTTTGACAGGACAAGGTGGAACGGCTTTAGGCTGAAAGAGGGTAGATTTAGACTGGATATTGGGAATAAATTTCTCCCAGTGAGAGTGGGAAGGCCCTGGCACAGGTTGCCCAGAGAAGCTGTGGCTGCCCCAGCCCTGGAAGTGTCCAAGGCCAGGTTGGACGGGGCTTGGAGCAACCTGGGCTAGTGGAAGGTGTCCCTGGCCATGGCAGGGGGTGGGACTGGATGGGCTTTAAGGTCCCTTCCAACCCAAACCATTCTGGGATTCTACAATTCTATGATTCTATGATCTATTCTGCCCCTTCTTGGGGTCAAAGGATGGGAAGCTCCAGACTCTGTGATGCTCTTTCCAGAAAAGAGTTAATTTAGTTATTACTCAAACAATTAATTTAGTTATTACTCTTTTCATCACACATATATAATTCAGCAAAACTG